TGTGAAAACGGGTAAGATTAGCTATAATGTAATTATCTTAATCTTCACTATCGTTACTTTTTGCCCAGCGAAGCGGGTCCTTGCAGCTAGATTCTAGATTACTTAGAAAAACAGTCTTATATATATAAAAAAAACTATACTATTACATACAAATAAAAACCCAGCGAAGCGGGATCTTGCAGCTAATCTATATATATAATCGAGACGAGTTGATAATAATAATAATAATAATAATAAGCGCAGAGCCCAGACGGTTAGGAGTTGAAAGTTGAAATTTGGTACTAAGTTAGGGTACGTTACGAGAACGCACACTAAGAAGGGATTTTTCGAAATTCCTCCCCACGGGGGAGAGAGACAGAATTAAGGCTTAACACTTCCATTAACAATGGAAGTGTTAAGTAACAATGAAATTGTTAAGAGAAAGCGACGTGCAAGACGCAGATGCAGTTTTTTTTGTTTTTGCGGGAAATCGAACATGTTTTTAGACCCATCTAAAAATTCTCTAATCAGTCCGGAAACAGGGGGACTCAATTCTTGCATTCCGTGAAAACGGGTAAGTAATCTTAGTAAACGTAATAATCTTAATCTTCGCTATCGTTACTTTTGCCCGAGCAACGCCGAGCCTACCTGCTAGTTTATTTATATTACTATAAACAACAGTTTAATTGATTTTATCGTTTGCACCTTTAATATAAAATTTAAAAGATGAATTTGAAAGAAATATATTTCCATACAGGATGAGTCCCTTGCACCCTTCTAAAAGTAATGAAGATACATTCATTTTGTTAATACAATTGCATAGGAAAATAATTTTTTGTTGACCTTGAAAACCATTTTCAAGGTTACTCATGTTGTAATAAACGGAAGTAACGTAAAAGTTCCACGAACAAAGTTAAAGACCACCATTTAATTAGTCTAAAACATTTTATTAATTTAAATAAATACATTTAGGGCTGCATAATTTACAACTTTATGAGGAGTAAAAGTGATTTCGTTTTACGTGAGTCAAGGTCAACAAAAAAAAAGGTCCCATCCGATTCTCCATACATGACTTCCTATGTAACTGCATTAACAAAATTAAATATACCTTCAGTACTTTTGAAATGAAATGGGTGCAAGGTACTTTTGACCCACCCTATATATATATAATTTTAAAATACAAGATATAATTGATTTTTATTCTCTTTCATTTTTGCATTTTGAGTTAATAAAAATTAAATTTATTCTATACGGTATAGTTCTTTATTAACCCGTTTTAGTACACTTATCATAGAATAATTCTGTTTTCATGCACATTGTTTGATACAAAAAAACTCAATTTTCGATTAAATGACTCATTTATCATTACGAGAGTTACTTGGAAGTGATGAAATTAATCCATTAGCAGACAAAAATCAAATAATTTATATAATAATCGTTACATTTTCGTTTTGTCATGTGATATTGTTTTTTCTAGCACCCGATCATCCGATATGAGTAGTCCATAAATTACATAACGCAGATATGGGTGAGTGAGTAGTACGATGTTTTACAAGGGGGTGGGAATGTTTGCACAAACATTAAGTAATGCTAGGATCTCAATCTTTGGATAACAGAATGAATCATTTTTGTTTCTGAAGTGATGTACAGATAATCGCACTGTTTATGTCACTGCTTTGTACGTTACATGTGTAATTAATAAAATAATATAACATTGGGTACTCTACGCTTTCTGTTATTCTTTAGTGCGATTAAGGGGTTGATCGAGGATATGCGTTAAACTGTAATTTTGGGAGTGAAAGCGTTACAGCTACCATTCCACTCCGTTTACAGGGAGTGGAATAGTAGCTGAAAAGTATAAAAATTTATGGGCGTTACGTAATTTATGAGCGATCCGTATTCATATAAAAGTAATTTTGTATGAAGGTTATCCGAGTTGTTTTAAAATAACGACAGTTCTGGATCAAATTCAGAATATCAATGTTAAATTACATAGTGGAATATATTATAGAGCGATTTTTTCTGTAGATATTTATCTAAATATTATGTATAATTAACCACGATTACACCTTTCTCTTTAAAAGTTCAAAACGAAAAAAAAAAAAAACTGGTATAAACGTCATCGCTATACGAAGAGATTTCATGAATTTTTTTTTTATCTGTTACAGATAATTTAATTGGCCATCTTCCAATGCGATTATTAATGACGAACTAAGCTGAAACACTAAAATAATGGATACTTTATTTATCAGTGTGAAAATGAATTTAACTGGATAATGTACCATTGGGAGTAAATGCAGAGATAAATAGTCACCATTTTTGTCATGTACGGTCATTAATATAATTTCTTTTTTCCCTTAGAAACATTTAACAACCGTTAATCTACAGGAAAATATTTTGTTTAAGTTTTTAACTGTAAAGATTTTGTAATGTTTTATCTAAATTATAGCTACAATTTATCTTTGATAGTTCTTAACCATTTACTTTTAACTGCTTTAGCTATTTTTAGAATCGAGAGTAAGTTACACGTTTATAAAAGAATTAATTTCATTAGAAGAAGACGAATTTGTGGAAAGAGTTTGAGGATTTAATGAATTAGAAATATTCATTTTAATATTATCATACCTGGAATATTGGCTAAAAGTTCTTCAGCGATTTCTGGAGTAGCTGTATATAAAAGCTCTTTAACTAATCCTACTGATACATATCTTCGTTTATATTTCTCAGATTCTTCTACTAATCTTCGTATATTTGCCTACAAATTCATTTAAAATTAAATAAATATTATTTTATTAAGGTAAAGATGAAATTATATATCAAATTTTTGATTCTTTGCCAGTTAAATGGGCCTTTTTATAATTTATTTTAGCATGCAAACTTATTCTTAGATGTTCATTGTAGGATAGATATACTAAATTTGGAATAGTAATGAGCACATTTGAATTTTTATATTAACACAAATGATTTTTATATTAACTGAAAAGTTATAAGTGTTTTATCCATAATCTCGAGATCAAAAAATTCATAATAATTGAGCAATAGACATCTTAATTAATTGTTTAATTGAAGTCTTGATTAAAAGTATTAATGAATTATAAATTTCATTATTAAATCTAAAAAAATATTTAATTTCTAAGAAATTATTTGGTTTTAGTTTCAATAGAGAAACGAAAGGGCAGAGTGTTTTTCTAGCTTAAAATTAAAATACATATTAAAAATTAAATGAGAAATTCTTCTCAAAGCGTGAGGAAAAGTACGTTTAGCCAAAATAAAAAAACCCTTGAATATTCGTAAAAACACAGATGTCAACTTAACCTATATAACTTGTATAAACATTAGAAACAAATGTAGTTTTTATTGTTCTATGTGGATATTATATTATTGTATACACAATCTAAAGATGAAATTTGAAGCAGGTACTGTACTATGTTAAGTATATAATAACAACTATTAAAAATAAATTTTAAAAAATGAAATATAGTACGTTATAAAAATAATATAATGGTGGAGAAAAGAGCTAAAATTTTATTTGTTAGCAACTTTTTTTTTTATCACGTTAACTTGAAAACTTTTACTGAAAAGCAATTGTTTAAATCAAAATATTGCATTTTACATTAATACTATGAGCCGTTTTTTTTTTAACTTTTCTTAAAAATATGAAAAGTAACAGGTAAATCTGCTCCGACTTTGAAATCTTATGAACAATAAAAAGCCTATTACAAGATTTATGCAGAAATCTTGAGACGGAAGATAATTAAAATAGAATATCATGCCAAGTATATAAAAAGATGGCAAATAATTTTGAATAAAATATTTAATTTGCTTTTAGATTATGCTAACAAAAGCAATTTTTTTTAGCATTTCAACAAAATGCGTAATCTATTATTAATTAATCTGTTTATGCATTATCTGCTTATAATGCATAAGTAGAGTTATAAACTTATGTTTTCTAGTAAGTATTGACATTTTAACACAGACCCTGAGATGCTATTGCTAATTTTTTACTCAATTTACTTGTTGTATAGTTTAACTCTTATTATTTTCTAAAAACTATTTATTCAGCCTATATTTTATTTCGAGATTTTACAATGTAAAAAAGAAAATTAAATTTTAAATAATTAAAAAAAAATGTAACAACGAAATTCTATTATTTTATTCAAGTTTTACAAAGTGTTGATTATCCATACAAGAAATTAAATTTGCAAAAAAAACGAGTAAAAAATAGAAATTTTTTCACGTGTTTTTTACCAATTGGTCTTCTTCCAATAGATTATATCTTCTTTCACCAAGTGAAAATAGCGAGATAT